AAAAAAAAAAAAAAACCCACCACCAACAACAAAAAATTAGTAGAGCTGCAATTTTAACTTAAGCCCTTGTCCCCTACTGTTTATTATAAAATTGTGCTTCCCACTAAAAATGGATTCATTCCATTTTCCTAATACTAATGATCAACTGAAAGTCAGGGTCTCTCAGAGGTTTTAAACATGAGAAGAAAATGTATGTATGTATGTATGCATATATGTATGTATGTATTTTGAGACAGTTTCACTTTGTTGCCCTTGGTAGAGTGCCATGCATCACAGCTCACAGAAACCTCAAACTCTTGGGTTTAAGCGATTCTCTTACCTCAGCTTCCCAAGTAGCTGGGACTATAAGTGCCCAGTGCCTGCCACAGTGCCCAGCTACTTGGGAGGGTGAGGCAAGAGAATTGCCTAAGCCCAAGAGCTGGAGGTTGTTGTGAGCTGTGACACCACAGCACCCTACCAAGGGTGACAAAGTGAGACTTTGTCTCTTAAAAAAAAATTAAAGATACTATCTATCTCCCAGGTTGGCTCAATTAATTGCATTAATAACATATAAAAGCACCCAGGGTAGCAGTCTGGAGTATAATAGGTGCCCAACAAAGGCAAGCTATTATTATTCTTTTCTGATGTAAATTATGTTAGCATATTTCTTGGTAATTACTTACCCTGATAACATGAGGACGACTCCTAATTGGCCATGGTGAAATATTCTTTTAACATAGTGCTAAATTCCATTTACTAACATTTCATTTTGAGATTTCACATTACTGGGGCTGGGTGCAGTAACTCATGCCTGTAATCCTAACACTCTGGGAGGCTGAGGCGGGTGGATTGCCTGAGCTCACGAGTTTGACACTAGCTTGAGCAAGAGCAAGACCCTGTCTCAAAAAAATAGCCAGGCGTTGTGGCAGGCGCCTACAGTCCCAGCTACTTGGGAGGCGGAGGCAAGAGAACTGCTTGAGCCAACAGTCTGAGGTTGCTGTGAGGTGTGATGCCATGGCACTCTATGGAGGGCAACAAAGTGATATTTTGTCTCAAAAAAAAAAAAAAAAAAATTCACATCACTTTTCACAACACATCACTTTCAATTTTAATACTATCTGTACATCAAGTTCCAGTATCAATGTTCCACTTTGATGGAACACACTGGTTCCTCAATGTTTCCAGCTTTGTAGAGCAAAAGAATCTGTGATTTTTTTTCTTCCTTATACCGAGGAACAATTTAATCTTATCAAAATGATCTGTTGAGAGTTTAAAGAATTTTACCTGTAACACCACCTGGACTTGGTCTTTTGCAGGACAGCTTTTTGATAACTTTCCCAATTTCTTCCATTGTTATTCATCTGTTAGGTTCTCTCTCCTGGAGTCAATTTTGATAGCTGAATTTGCTTAAAAGTAAAAAATAAAATCTAGTTTGGTTTATATTAGATATAAGATAATATTTATGTTAGAAAGTACTTTGTTTTAAAAAATTATTTTTAACCATCTATATGTGTGCACCCTTTTAAGCAGAGCAATCAGTTTATCTAATTTATGACCCTTTCATTTCCAGCAAAGAACTAGGTCTTAAATTACCAATTTTGCTATTTCTCAGTTTAAAAATTTTTTAATTTGCTTTTCTTCTTTCTTGTCTCCTTTTTCTTGCTTTGTCTGGGCTTTTTCCCTTCTAGTTCCTAAGAGAGATGGTTATTTTATTATTTAAAAATTTATTCTTTGTTACATAATTTGAGTGTTTGAGGTACTTTCCTTTGAATAAAACTCATTACTTTTTAAGATAGTTACCATTTTACTCTACTTGTTTATAAGTATCCTACAAATCTTCAACTAGCCAGTTTAGTATTCTTATTTGCTGTAAAAATAGGATTAAAAAAAAAATGGTCCCATAATGTTACCTGTTCCTTTTCTCCCCTCCCTTTCCTAACAAACTGAGGTTTCAGGACTTAATGTAATCAAATTTAAAATATTTTCTGCAGATGCTTGAGAAGTTTGTCAAGGTACTGACTCTGATAATTACTTATCACTTAGTCTACTACACTCTTGGTTTTTTTTTTTCCTTTTTCAGTCAAAAGTTAGCTCTTATTAGCATTACACTTACCACTCTAAGATTAGCCAACATTTTAAAAACCAAAATTTAGAAGTATTTGATACCTACATAATGCTTTGCACTTCTTCAGAGTTTCAGAACCAAACACTGTTAAAACCAACAAAAATATTTAGATTAATGTACTCATATTACATAATTTGTGACAATTTATAAATGTCAAACATTTCATTCTTCTGATCAGTGGTGAATGGAAAAAAGAAAAATAATACATTTTTACCATATAATATATTTTAAATTTTAAAGTCACCAACTATAAGCTGTTTATATATGTTCCTTGACTATACAAACTAAGTTATTTGTGCACCTGAACAACAATACAAAGTGTTCTTTTTCTTTTTTTTTTTTTT